GTAACATCCTGTTGATACTAGTTATTTGAAACCAGATCCCTCACTGTGAGGACCACTCTTTGTGTGAAGAATATTGATAAATATAACTCATCTTTCTACTTGAAAATAGATTCGAGTCTAGCATAAGTGTGGACTACAAGCTAAGCTGTTTTCTGGATTTTTATGTTATATTTTAGCATGACATTCCAGACCTGCTTAAACTGCAAGGATGCCTTTAATTCTGAAGCTCTGTGAATGATTTTGTCTTGTCTTAGCTGTGATGGGTCAGTAGAGCCAAAATAAGCAAAACAGAGAAATTCTGTGCATGACAAAGGAAAAGATCCTGTTTTAAAGACTCACTAGCAGCTCCTGGAAATCTGATGCATAAGGGGCAGCTGAATTTTCTGTTACTTCTCAGAGGTGGTTTGAAGAAAGAATCCCCCAGAGTGCCATGGTGTTTTAGAAATGGTTCAATTTGACAGCATGGGTGCATTCTGTGACTGAACTATCTAAGTATTTAATTACCATGCCAGGCACAGATACAGCACAGATGCAGTGGCCTTTCTCAAGGATGACAGCTATTTTTAGTAAGGGAAATGAGACTATCCAAATAGACAGACGTTTATTTTAGTTTCTCGTGCATCATAACTGTAGAAAAAGCCTAATGAAGAATCTTCTTGTTTCTCCAAGATCTACATCTTAGCTCAGCTATATTTAAGGCAACACGAAGGGGGCTGTTATTTTAGTCCCTTGGGATTCATCTGTAAAAAACACAGCAGCTTGTGCTGGCTTTCATCCAGCTTTGCTGCTGGCAAAACATGTCTCTTCAATCTCTTTGTACTCTCAGCTACATGACCAAAATCCTGTTTAGCCGGTTTTTCAAACTGGTGTTCAAAGTCTCTCCTTCCCTCTCACCACCTTTTCTCTAAGAACTGTTTTAGGTTTTGTGGTGGCAAGTATACAGAGCAGCTTGCTTGATTCTTCCTCTTCCCTCTGTTCAGTTTTTAATCTTGGTGTGGAATTATTGAACATATTCCTTTAAATAAGGAATGACTCATCAGTGCTTTGCTGGAGAGACTGATCTGGTGGAATAAGCAAGAAAGGTGGAGGATCATGCTGATAGACTGGTTCTTGCAGTCAAAATGAGGGCTGGTTGCAAGATGCAAAGAGGTAATTAACAGTGTGTTGGTGCTGTGGAAGGAGCAGATGAGCAGGGCAGACAGGGTGTGTGAGCTTGGTGGGGGCAGCGTTAAGGTGGGGCGGCTTTGCCTGCTGGAGTGGGGGCGTGCTTGGACGGCAGCATGAAGGTGAATGACAGCAGGTAAATAGCTGAGATGGATTTTATTAGTGGAGTGAAGGAGATGGGGATGGAATTTATGAAATGACAGAGTTGTGGACAGGTTGTTCAACATGTGAGACAGAAAAAGGTAATGTAAATCTGGTGCTGGTCTTAACTTGTCCTTTGCTTGCTCCATTTGGGTGGATGCCGGTTCAAGGCTGTCTTTTGAAATGCTGCCTGAAATCTGTGGTGCAAGAAAGGAGACTGAAGATGGCTTTTCCTGGGCAATGCTGAATTGCTTAACTGGTGTGGCTTGTTGTGCTGAACAGTGTGGCTTTACAAACACATCTGCCCTAGCTGCTTTCACACGTTTGACTCATGTGTTGTGTGTATCTATTGCCTGGAAGATTTGAGGGTCCAGTGTGATCTACAGCAGCAAGAGCTGGTCCACAGCTATGCCTTTCATACTCAACCTCTGCAGAATCAGGAGACATCTCCTGTGGATGAAAGAAGCTACTTCAGGCTGATCTCAAATATCTGTTGTTCCTCTGGGGCTATTTTGCCCTGTGCTGTGATCCTGAGTGAATCTTCCCATTCACTCTGCTACCCCCTCCTCTCCTCAGTTAACCCATGCCATAGTTGAGCTGGTTTGGATAACAAAGATTGCTTATGTCTCCTGACTATTCTTCCCACAGCTGTCTTGCCCTCTTCCAGAGCAGTACACCCCAAAGTTTGAAACAGGTTGTTTTTAAAATAGAGGTTTCTAAATTAGCTCCCAGCAAGGCCTGCCAACCTTGTGGCCGTTTATCTAAGGTACTTTAAGCTGCTGGGATTTGGTAAGAAAAGTAGAGTATTGTTTTGACACGTTGATTGTTCCATTGGAAAGGAGTTTGCAATGTTGAATGTTATCACTGACATTTAATAAATATGCACTGCAAATACACTTGGTAAAAATAAAAACAAATGCTGATCCTCAGTAGTTCTTTAAACCTTAGTACACTTGGAATTCTGGGCTTATCAGTGTCCTTATGCAATATTTTACTACTCTGGCATCTTCTCAGTACTGGCTTCTGAAATTATCTGTGTTGTCTTTTCAGCTGTAGATTGTGTGGGAAACACCACCTGGAAAAAATGTGAATATTTCACTGCAAGTCTTGATTTTTACTAACGTGACTTACACCATTTGACCTGAGCATTTCCTCCCTTGTGCAAACATTTTTCTCCTTTAGTTTTCTAACTTGATGAAGTCTTTTTTATCTACAGTTTTTACATTTTGTGTGTACAGCAGGAGACTCCTTACGTTTGCTGCTTTCTACAAATTGTGTAGGTTAGATTTCTTCTTATATCTGATCAAAATAACTTCCTAACTGCACTCTGTGTTAGCTCTTGAGCATCTTCAGTAACACAAGGTACAAAGTTGAAGGTTTGGGGAGTGTTTTATTGCTGTTCATCAGTAAGACTCTTCTTCCTTTCAGCAAGAATCCCTGTGCACCCCCACTGGAGGCTGATTCCTATCACCATTTCCAACCCCTTTTTACAAATATTTGCTCTTTACTGTGCCCGTTGGTATCGGGGTTCGCTGTTATTTGTCTCTGTGTTGAGTTCCCACACATTAGTTAAAAAAAACAAACAAAACAACAAAAAAAAAAAACCAAACCAAAAACTAGTAAGTTTCTGCATTTAGTAAGAAGGTAATTCTCATGTGCATCGTTGTGGTGAAAATATTTGTTGTTGGTCTGTGACTGCGGCTGTCCACAGAACTACTTTTCTTAAGTGGTTCCTATGGAGTCCACTGGAATTTTCTTCTTTTTCTGATGTTTACACATCAACTGAGGTATTTTGAGCACTCTCAGATCTCAATTTTCTGACTTTAAATCATCTTTGAACAATAACTGGCTTTAAAGCCTCAGGTTCTTCAAGACTTCAGCTTGTGGTAGGACCACAACCTGTAGTAGCAATTGGGAGGAAACAGGCTTTGGGAATCTGCAAGTTTAGGTTGGTTGATTTTTAGTTAGTTATTTTGTCTGTGTGTGATGTGTTTGTTCTTTTTGTGTGTTTTGGTAGTGTGCAGAGAATTGCATTATAAAGGTTTTTGTTTTGGGCGGATATTCACCCTTCTTACAGTTTCAAATACTTCTCTGCTATTAAATAACTTCACTTTGTAGATATGTTCATATTTATATCTGTAAATATATCTGCAAATGAAGCAACTTACCCATCTCTGCCCCTCAGTTCCCTGTTTTGGTGTGTAGTACCCACTACTACTGGATTCTGAACTCAGAATGGCAGTGGAACTCCAGTCAGCTGCCCAAGCCTAGAAAAGGGCCTGGATTGGTCTGAGCAGCTATTTTGAAACAAAGCCTGGGAAATCATGTCTCTGCTCCTTCTAAATCATGTTCAATACATGTGTTTTCCCTTGTGGAGCCTTACCTTTGGGCTGCAGGTGCTGCAGCACTTGTTCACACTGAGCTCTGTGTAGCTGTGGGATCAGGTCATTAGGACATCATCTTTCCTGAGCAGAGACTGTAATGATGTAAAGTGCCACATGTGGTATGGTAAAACAAACCAACTCTCTTTTCTCCCCATATACAGGTTAAAAGACAGCACAAAGATATTGTCTGAGCCTCAAATCAACTTGTAATTTGCTTTTGGGGGTGGTTGTTTTGGAAATAGAAGCCGTTGCTGAGAGCAGTGGGTGGCTACTGCATCGTGATTGTAATTATTGCTTTGCTTGTGAGGTGATGCTTTCCTGAGAGGGAGTAGCATCAAGAGGGAAGCTTAGAATAATTGCATTTGTACCCTTGAAAATTAGTTAACAGGCTACTGATTACTGATACATGTAGATACTATAATATGCTAGCTGACTTATTAGGAGCTAGGAATTTAACACTGGTATAGAGTAATAAAAGGCTGGAAACTGTTATCTAAGGGTGGAAAATAACAGAATAAGACAACTGGAGCCCTTTCCTCTTGAGAATTAATCTGCTGGGGGTTAGCCATCCTGGAGCTGGAAATAATTTTTTTTAATCTAGTATTCATAACACTTTATCTCTACCAAGAACTTTATTAGCTTGGACATGACTTGATTATAATTTTACTTTTCAAGGTATTAGATCACTATTTGTTTGGCTTTTCTTAATATATTACTTTTGAAACATTATTAAATCATGATGGGTAGGGTTTTTTTTGTTTGTTTTTCAAGTTAAATAATTATTAAGGACATAATCAAAGTCAAAGGTGCTATAGGTGAAGAAAGGGTATTGCAAAATCAATATTGTAGTTTATCTTCAAAGTTCTTTCAAATATTTAATAACTTAAATTATAGTTAGTCCAGATTTTGTACATTACCAATATAATATGATAATTTTTCATATGAACTCATAATTCTGCCATAATCTTCTTAATTAGTCTTTTTACTATATTCTGTGTGTTCTTGTTTTCTATACAAATGCATACAGTTTATTTGCTTACTTTAATCAGGAGCGTGTCTGTTCTCCATCATGTTTTTCAAAAACTTTTACAAAATATTGAATTACTTTATCTCTTTTTTAAAAAAAAGTGCTGAAGCATGGCAAGTGCATGAAATTATCAGTCAATACAATGAAACTTTTCACTTCATTTTCAAAAACTTTAACAAAATATTGAATTACTTTATCTCTTTTTAAAAAAAAAAGTGCTGAAGCAATGGCAAGTGCATGAAATTATCAGTCAGTACAATGAAACTTTTCACTTCATTTTACAGTTTAGTCAGCTGGTATCCAGTGATTTGAAAGTACTTGGAAGGAGCTCTTACACACTCTGCAGTGATGGCCAGCTACTCATCCGACAAGTTCTCCACCCAGAAACATCCAAGAAGGTACAAGATGAGAACTGGTGCAGAGAGGCAGCACTGGGAGGGGAGTGATACAATTCCACCTGGGAACTGGAGTGTCCCATCCCTGCCTGAGCCCTGAGTAGTTATTTTAGGCACTTGATCTTGAAAGTCAGCCACACTACTTGGACTCCCAGATGAGCATAAGGAAGAGGAACATTAGGAAAAACAGGATAGAGATAGAAGCAATACAAGTACTTTGAATTTTGTGTGTGGGGTGGAAGCAGAGGTACAGATCAAAACTCAGAAGTGATGGAGAACTATTGCTTTGCTTAGGCTTGTGTTAAACCAGTGTCCTGTGGAGGGTAAGCACACAGGTGGTGGTGTGGCCTGGCAGTGCTTCCCCATCTGCACTTATTCAATGGGAAGCAGAGTTGCGTCTTATTTGCTACACCCACGTGAAGCAACAGTTTCTGCTCCAAGTTCCTGGAGGGTTTAGAGCACCCTGTCATGCACAGGGAGAAGAACCTGTGCAAGGTGGTGGCTCTTGAGTTTGCTGGCTTAGCAGGGTCTGCAGGAGCCCCACAACAATGAGAGCTGCTGACATGGAAGGAGCTGGCTAGTTGTTGGATTTTTTCCTGAAAGTTGCTGAAAGGGATTTTGTAAACTGTGACAATGTTTATTTAAAACTTGTCGTCATGGTTTGGCACAAATCTGCTTTTCAGTGTAGCCACAAAAGATAAAATAGTGTCAAAAATGGGAATTAAGCAGCAAAACACAGATATTTTAAAATATTTTTTTCCCAGCCATCCTCTCCATCTGTTTTGCATGGGTCTGACTCCCAGAGGCTATTTGACTTTGTTCATGTAGAGATCCAGTTCTGTAGAGTTATGGAATTTGAACTGTGTTACAAAGGAATCAAACTGCTCTGTCGCCAGCAAGCTGGTGACATGGAACTACGTGATTTCTGAGAGTACCTCATTCAGTTCAAAAGTATTAATTGAAATTTAAAGGGATTGCATGTATAAAATAAACATTTTTACCTTCCTTGTAGAACTTTGTGTTGTCAGACTGCTTCTATTCCTTTTATGATCTGCGCAAAGAATTCCACACTTGCTACCCTAGTTCAGCCGCCGTGAAAGATCAGACTATCAAGACCATGGCAGAATGTATCCTTTTGCTTCAGCTTATATCCCACAATCACTTAAGTTCCTTGAATTTTATCTCTGTGATTGAGTTTAGAAAACTAAAACTAGATGCGGGTTTTATAAACTCACAGGTAAAGTGAAAGGAGTGTGTGTCAGGGGAGTTGCTCTGCTTGTAATTTTTTTTCCCCCCAAGTCGAATCTAATTGATTTCTAAACCATATTTAGTAAATCTGCCAAAGAAAAGCATCACTTGCACTGGTACTTGATCTTAAAGGGAAAGCTGAGCTGTCAGTGGGCTTTTTCAGCACCAGCTGGCCTGCAGGTTTCCACTGTTTACAGATAACAGTTGCATGATCCTGACTACACTGAGTTTAAAATAAAGCAAAAACAAAACCCACATATTACCCTACATATCAATTCAAATTAGAGGGATTGTTGAGGCCCATCTGAATGGGATTGAAGTTCGGTTATGTTTGAAGTGATAAGAACTTGTCAGCTTTTCCTTTCTTGGACTGTTAACACTGCAGCTATGTAAGCACTCAATAGTTTTCAAACTGTTGTCTGTTGAAGTGAATATAAACCAGTTTATCAGCAGTGTAACATGTCTAATAGCCACATGTCCCCACTAAGACCAGTACATTTGATTATTAGTTCTGTGCTAATATCATGAAAGCCTTATGACTTACTTACAAAGGATTGTGCAAGTCTGTTATTTTCTATAATCACCTGTTTAGATCTAGGCTTAGGGACAGATGAAGCAGAGGAGGACTTTGGCGTGTGGCAAGTGAAGACCATGGTGGCTATCATTTTCAGCATGCTTTCAGAAGGTTGTAGTAAGTTAACTATTTATACTGAATGCTAAAATCCTTCTTTTCTGAAAGAATTGGCAGTGGTGCTGTCATTCTTAAGTAATCTCTGACTCTGGTTATATTTAAACTTCCTGTTTTGTCACAGATCACGTATTTACTGAGCCTGAAACTGTGAAACACAAGTATGAAACAGGTCCTTGGTAAGTGCTCTTGTCACGGTTGTTTACAAATAAAGATGAGTCTTGTGTGCAGCAAGGAAAGCTTGTGAATATTTCCCCATGGTCATGTGAAAGCAGGCTGGCTCCTGAGAACAGCCCAGTGTAATCAGTGCACAGTCACTGCAGTGCAGCCAGACTGTGGCTGGCATGCTGTACTTTAGTCCATCTCTTTAAAGTCACTGCAAGTTAAATGCTCTTTGTTCTCTTGCTTCTGTTTTGCATGGCAGCGAGGCTGGCTTATCTTACCCAGGTGAAGAAATATTTGTGAACTTTCCCTAAGTCAACAGGGCTGATGGCCAGTGCACCCTACATGAGCTGAGCTGTGTGGTGCTTCTCAAAGTGGTTTTACATTCTCACTTGGATGTTGGGTTTAGGGATGAAGGAACAGATGGCTCATCTGTACAAATGCATTTCAGTGACCAGACTGAAATACCTTAGGCTGAAGTAATTTGTGTTGCTTGGACTGCTAGATCTTTCAAATGAAATTAATTCAGTTCCTCATTACAGTGAGGCAGTTTTCCTATTTTTTTATTTAAGGAATTGCAATGTGGTGACAACCTTGTGCATCTACAGTGTTATAGATATAAAGGGATTATCCAAGTTATCTTCCCTTTCTTTATTGAAAGGAATAATGGAGATAGGAGAGTCTCAACATAAAATATGCTCCCAATTTACAATTCACTTAGTTGCAATCTGAAGTTTGATAAAATATTGGAAAACCTGGATGAAAGCTTACTTTTTCTTCTTTTTTCTTTTTGTGCAGTAGTAAATCTGAGACTGTGGACAGTGAGACAGTAATACGTGCCAGAGGTTTGCCATGGCAGTCTTCAGACCAGGATATTGCTCGTTTTTTCAAAGGACTCAACATTGCCAAGTAAGATAAGGAGAATTAGCCTTGCTTTATCACTTTGCCTTTAATAGCAAGTTCTTTTAATATTTGCTGTATACACATCCCTCACTCTCCCCACTGGAGTCCTTCAGTCTTTCCCCACTTGACCCCTTCCCATGCTGTGGCCATGACAGCTGAACAGGTTTACCACCCTTAGGGGTGCAAGAAAAAGTTTTGAAATATGTGAAGAAGAAAAGAGACTTGTCAATTGAAAACAAATATATACATCCATTTATAGCTAGTATAAAAAGGGAGAAACTCCTATTGCATTAATCAAAACAGAGGCCAAGACATAAAAAAAGCTTTAATTTTGTGCCTGTGTGGTGCTTCACACAACTTATAATTCTTCTATACCCCCTATACAGGCCACATTCAGAAACTTCTAAGTCCTCTTTGGAATAAATTTTCCTGTGATTCAAGTGTATGCCTGTGTATAGATTTATGTGTATACATATATATGAAGAGAGTTGAGGTTATTTAGCATATCTGTCAATTAATATATATTGCAGACCTCCAACACCGAGAAAATATATATATTTTTTTTTAATTTAGAGTGATGAGGAACTTCAAATGTGCATCTCTGAGGTAACAGGAAGGACAAATTTGAATCTTTATGGGAGTTGAGAAAGTGATGAACAGCATGAGATCCAGGATCTCAGTGAAGCAGATTTTGAAGTATAATTGTGTTACAAGAAAAATTAAATTTTGGATAGTAGCAATTTCTTTTCCAATCTGTAATCTTCATGTTTAAGTCTGATTCCTTTACTATTCTTACACAGTTATTTATTAAATGTATTAAAGATTCAGACTAAGCTTATGTTTGTTGTCTTTACCTTCCAGGGGTGGTGTGGCTCTTTGTCTGAATTCCCAAGGAAGAAGAAATGGGGAGGCTTTGGTTCGGTTTGTCAATTCTGAACAGAGAGACCTTGCCCTGGAAAGGCACAAGCATCACATGGGCAGCAGATACATTGAGGTAAAAAGTTGTGACTTGAAACAAATCTTTGGAGAGAAACCTGAATATTTCAGGCTATGTTCTCATTCAAAACCAAAGTGCACTTCTGTTTTGCTCAAAATACCAAAACACAATTCTCTTGCTTGTGAAAGTGAGTGTGTGGTTTAAAGCTGAACATTGTGATATTCATGTGGAATTTTTTGTTCTTTCTTTCAAGGTTTACAAAGCAACTGGGGAAGAATTCTTAAAAATTGCAGGAGGTAAGTGATGCTGGAATTCAGTGTGATTACTTCAGTTCATAGGAATGTTGTTCATGCTCTTTTTTTTTTCCTTAACTGAGGAGGCAAATGGATAATGAAGTAGCTTTTCCTGTTTTGCCTTCCAAGAATGTTTGACCCTGTCAAGTTCTGTTTTCACGTGGTTGAAACTGAGCTGTGAGCATCTGAGCTGTGATGTTCACAGATTTCCCTCCTTCTTGGGAGGAAGACCAGCCTTTGCAGTGGAAGCACCTGTGTATCTTGTATTAATTCACACTAATCTCATCTTTGCTCTGATTTCATTAAAATATGAAGCACTTGCAGATTAAGAAGTTTTCCCCTCAAAACAGATTGCTGACAGTTAGTAGTGTTTTGGGTCTTGTCTGGGTTTGTTCCTGGCTGCTTACCTACTGCAGTATTCCTTAGTGCTTCCCTGCTGCTGCATCCCCTGGAACTGGGTGCCCAGCACCGACCACAAGTTCTTGGCTGACCATGGGCTGTTATCTCTCTGCCAGGCACCTCCAATGAAGTGGCCCAGTTCTTATCCAAGGAGAATCAAGTTATCATCAGGATGAGAGGCCTTCCCTTCACTGCTACTCAGGAAGATGTCTTGGGGTTCCTGGGACCAGAATGCCCAGTCACAGGAGGGAAAGAGGGACTTCTCTTTGTCAAGTACCCAGATGGCAGGCCCACAGGAGATGCATTTGTGTTATTTTCCTGTGAAGAATATGCACAGAATGCACTTAAAAAGCACAAAGAAATACTTGGAAAACGTTACATTGAACTCTTCAGGAGCACGGCAGCAGAGGTCCAACAGGTTGTAACTATTGGTTGTGAGACTCAAAACTGAACAGTTGAAACATTTCTTCTAATGCTTGCACACAAATATGTTGTAGACAACCATGAACATTTATTATATGAAAAATGTCAAGAAAGGTCAATATATATTTCCTAATGGTCATGGAAAATTGTGCAGCACTGCTTTTGCTTTGTCTGGGGAGGGGGGTTTTGGGGTCTTTGTTTAAGCTGCCACTGCCTGGATGGGTTTTCTACCATCCTTCAGACTATAAAGGGAAAATCATTGCATATTTTTCTTCTCCTTAAAGGTTGAGTGAAACCAAAAAAATAATTTTAGAAATATAGTAGATTGATAGTATTGTAGTAAAGCTTTTTGAAAATCTGCAGTATTGTCTTTAAATACTAGTCTCCATGTACAGAATTTCTAATATTAAATCCAAATCTGGATGCATGAAATGAGCAACTGCTTTCTTGGAAAGTAAGAATCAAGAGGATGTATCTTAACTTTTTTGGTGAAAGGAAGAGATTTTTTTTTTCCTGAGGTAATTTATTTCCTTTTTTCCCTATCCTTCACCATCATTACTTTCTTAAACTGGTAAAACCACTTCATTTCTTCACCAGCTTGTCCCTATGAAAAACATCACATTATGGTATTTTTCTTCCTGACACAGAATATTTCTAGACTAGTGGCTCCAGAGGGAACCACTATTAGATTTGGTCTGGTCTTTGCATAACCACTGGCTATAAAAATGTAATACAGTTACTGTGCAACTTATATGACAAGTGAAGTCTTTCTGTAGAAGGGATGGGACAAGGGAAAGAATATCCACACTTGTAGATCATTGCTACTACTGTGATATGGATATTACAACAGCCAAGAATCTGTGTGCTGGGAAGATTGGGAAGTGGCATTTCCCCCTCCCCCACAGCTTCCCTCCTGAGAGAGAAGGAACAAAATCACCCTGTCACAGCAACCAAGTCTCTGCTTTTTCTCTACTTTTTTCAGGGAGACCTGGATATAACTTACATTCTACCAAAAATGTCATTACTTCTTCCTCTTTGACAGCTGTTTAGGCTGACACCCAAACTTTTTTGCTGCTTGGGCAAGCGATTATTTCTTAGGAAATGACGGGCTACTTGTCTGAGTAATTACAAGAAGTAAAGCCAGCTCTCATCTACTTTGTGTTAGTACAAAGTAATTGCAATACTCTCCACACAACTGAGAGAGATTTCTGTCCTGAAAGGCATTACAAGGAGATTCTTGAAACAAACTCCCTAAGCTGAATCACTTTTAAAAAAACCTAAAGCTTTGTAACCTGATTTTTGGTACCTCTTTCAGTAGTATGTGTTTATTTGTGATAATCATCACTAAAAATGGTTTTCAGCAGTAAGCCCCTACATGTGTCATATGTTCCCTTTGTCATTTGGAAATGAGTCAAGAGAAAATGTTGAGATCAAAGTCTCCTGTAGTCTTATCTTTAATTTTTATTTTTTCCTCAGAAAATCTGTACTTGGAGATGAGCACTGGGGTTAAAAAAATAAGCACCCTCTCTTAACCAACCAGGTTTTAGAATAAATTATAATTAGTGCTTTTACTTACTAGCTGTTTCAGGTCTCAGTTCTTTTAAAATGACTGGTTTTAATTTACCCTGATTTAACTAAGAACTGTATGTGGCCATACTGGTTTATTAGCACAGATGTGATTTCAGATGTTCCTTTTTGAGATACTATAAACAGTAATTGGCTTTTAACTTTTTTATATTGACATGAGAAAAGTCTGTTATTGGGGTCTGGCAAATTTAATTTGTTAGCCTTCCCCTCTCTGAGTTTAAAATTTTCAAATGCCCGACAGGAAACTAACTGCAATAATTTGGCATAAGAAGGGTTTGTTGGAAGTTTGTTGGAAATAGTGTTGTGAGAACTGCTCTGTGCTCAGACGGGTGATTGTAAATCTGCATTGCTGTGGGTTTTTTGCCAACAGGTACTTAATCGATACATGTCAACACCTCTTATTCCAACTCTTCCAACTCCCATCATTCCAGTCATACCCCCACCATACACCATTGCCACGGGCAGCGTCCGCGACTGCGTGCGGCTCAGAGGTCTTCCTTACACTGCTGGCATTGATGACATCTTGGAATTTATGGGAGATGCCACAGGGGATATCAAGCCCCATGGAGTTCACATGGTCCTTAATCAGCAGGTAACAGCATTTTGCATGGGAGGAGTAACTTTGCATTGACTGAACAGGTTAGAAGTCAGGGCAGCTTACCTGATCTTCGCTTTACTCTTCTCCAGCCTTGGAAAATTACAATGTTCTCTTCGTCTGTCTTTGCCTCATTTCTCTTCCTCTTTTACATACACCCTTGCTTTTCTCTCTCTGTATGTATATATGCATCAGCCTGGGAAAGATGAAGCTTGTTCTTTGAATGATAACCTTATCCTGGAGGCTGTTTTCAGCCAGAGGCTGGAGATACACAACAGAAATTTCTCCTTTAGATGGCATAGCTGCTCTGTCAGCTTCAGGGTTCCTGCTGTGTTGTTTGAGTGCTCTTTGTGTCAAAATGAGCTTTTTCTAACTTGATTAGCAGTTGCTTAGGCTTTAAAGAGAGTTTATAATTAAAAATTGTGGTTTGGGTGTATTTTAATGATGTGATCATAGAGATATATTTTCCCTGTTGTCTTGTGTTGAAAGTAAGTCCTTAATTACAGAAATACTGAGGTATTAAAGAAAACAAATGGGAGATCTACTATATTTGTTTCGGGGGGGGGGGGGGTATATATTTTTTTGGTTAAGGAAGTTTTTTGTATTTTATACAGACAGGTATATCTGTCAGATTGCAGAAACTCAGACCCAGAAATAAACTTCCAATGGAGCTATAGACTTTAGTAAAGGATCTGGAACTTTATGCTGTTGTACTATTACCTCAAAAGTAGTTGTAGGAAAGGCAAAGCCAAGCTCTTCCTAGAGCTTCACAGCAAAAGAATAAGAAACAATGTGAATAAACTACACCCAAAAAATCCCATTCCGGTTGATGGAAAAGCGAAATAATAAAATCACAATGAGAAATTAACTAAGCATCTGGACAGGTTCCCAGAGGTGATATGGAACCTTCACCCCTGGAGATGCTCAGATTTCAAGTGGAGAAGGCCATGAGTGGCCTGACGTAAATTGAAAGTTAGTCCTGCTTTGAACAGCTTTTGGATGAGAAACCTCCAAATTTTTTTCCATGCTACACTATTCTGTTTCTTTCTGCAGAGGACTGAAGTAGCATTGTGTTAACTGGGCCCTTGTTGCATGAGTCCTAATTTTTCTACTCCTAAATAGAATGGTTGAGTTGTGAGTCACTTGTGCCAGAAAAGGAATAATGATACAGGCTTTCAGTAGATGTTTGATCTTAGTCCTTTCTGCATTTCTTGTGATCTGGGTGATTTCGTAACAGATTGACCTACAGTTACTTCCCCACCTCCCCTAGGGACGACCGTCAGGTGATGCTTTTATCCAAATGAAATCTGCTGACAAAGCCTTTATGGTGGCTCAAAAATGTCACAAAAAAATGATGAAGGACCGTTATGTGGAAGTATTCCAGTGTTCTGGAGAGGAGATGAACTTTGTTTTAATGGGTGGCACTTTAAATCGTAGTGGCTTATCCCCACCGCCATGTAAGTTACCATGTAAGTCTCCAATTCTTCTGCTCTCTGCTGCTAAAGGCTGATATGTGGTAGGTGCTGAAGCTTTGTGGCCTTTCACCTTTTGACTCGGGTTTTGCCATGATCAATAATCATCCATCTGTGTACATGCTAAGATTGGAATTGTTCCCTTTGGGCAATAATGGGACTGATCAGAAGCATTTTTATTGTATTTTCGGTGGTGAGTAGAGGGCAGCAAGGCCTTGCCAGTGAAATTGTTGCACACTTTGCTTTTTATGGGTGTACTGTTCTTCTGAGCTCTGCAGTAGACTTGCCTGTAGTGAAACCTACTTGGAATGAGAGGGATTTTTAAAATGGGGAGAAGTTCTATATTCCAGCTGCCGATGAGTGCTCTTGCTATCTTGCCTCAGAGCATTGAGAAGGTACTCTTTGGGCTTATTCTTGAAGGAAAACACCCACTGGGATGATATACTAACCAACCATAGAGTGGTGAAGTTGGATGGCTTTTAATTTTTTTTACTTTAAGATTACAGTGAACCTTACTGAGGAGCTATAATGGAATTTTACTGTAGTGTTCTAATTAGTCTCACTACCAAATCACAAAGCAGATACTGATGTGTATTTGCAAAATAGTAAAAAGCTGCCAAATATAGTATATAAAATCAATTTGACTGCACACCAAGCCAAGTTTATTGTTCCTGTACAAATTAGGTATTTGTTAATCAAAATGCATCACACTAGTGATCTAGTGGGGTATTCTCCCTTCCATTTTCTATATCCCAAAAATACTTTTTGAAGTTATGTTTTGAAGGAAGCTTATACATGAAGTCTCATGGTCAGTAGTTATGGATGCCCATGTGTGCATCCATGTGGATGTCCAAGCACTATTATGGTGCTTTTGTCCCACAGAGTACGACTTCTGTTAGAAAACACCAGGGTGTGTTGGTGTGCACGCCTGCTTTCTCTATGCACATGGCTTTATGCTTTCTTTTATTAACTCTGAAGTTCCCTACTTTCCATTTACATATAGACAAGGCTGCTCAGACCTAGGAGCTGTGAACTTTTAGGAATTACTCATTCCAAATGCCCCGGCTGTTATTCGTGGCACTGTAGCAAAGGTCTCCAGGGGAGAGGCTAGAGAGCAGTCTTTGCTCAAGTATTCATCAATCATGCCCAGATGGTTTTAATCACATTGCTGTAAGAGAGGAGTTACTAATCCAAGAGTTCTCCATTCTGATTGCTTTTTTGTTGCTGTGTCCTGGTTTGGTTTTAGGTCTTTCTCCACCAGCTTATGCTGCTTTCCAAACAGCAGCTGTGATCCCAGCAGAGGCAGCAGCCCTTTACCAGCCACAAGCCCTCCTGCCATCCACCAGGACGCCTCAGGCCTCTGCAGCTGCTCCTCCAACTGTTACCTACTACCCAGCCCAGGCTGCTCAGCTTTACATGAACTACACAGCTTACTATCCCAGGTAACCCTGAGATTTCACTGCTCCTCTTGGCCTTTCATCCCAGTGCAGTAGGTGACTCTATGGTCACCTGTGAACAGCTCTTAAATTTGTACCTCTAGGGTAGGTAGTCCTGGAAACTTAATGTTCAGCAACAGAGGCAGAAACCATTTTAACTGTTTCTCTGTGACCTTGTAAGGGGGTTCATCTCCTCTGTAGGTTCTGCTTGAATTTCGTGATAATGTTGGCCAAAAAGGGGTTTTATGGCACTGAGGCAAAGTCATCAAGGCAGCTCTACTTATTGGCCAGAAGAGGAGCTGTGTCAATCCACACCTCTACCCTCACCTCTTAGTTTGTTCTTTTACTTACAATACTCTTTTCATGCTGAAAGATTCATCATAGGTGTGTACTAGGTTTGATTTTGTACATCAGTGAGACCAAAGAACACTTTTACAGGTGTAAAAATGCAAAGCAAATCTCCCTTTCCACAGATGGTATCAGCATGAGTCACTGAAGTCTGGTGCAGGGGTTGTGAGGGAATAGCTTGTTCACTGGCTAGGCTTGTGTGACACTTGCTAGCTTGAGTATCTGGTAATTTGCTAAATGGGCCCTGACCAGAGATGGAGATGCTAATTACTCACTCTTTTGTGGCTCAGAAATGTCAGATTTGGGTGTTTTCCTCCTTTTCCTATTATGGCTCCCCCTCCTCTTTATTTCTTTGTGTGTTTATTAACAATCTTAAAACAAGTAGTCTGCAGCTACCTTTTCTACTCCCCTGTGAAATAACAAATGCCACTCCTTATGTCTTTAAGTACAAATGCTTGCTATTTTCCCCTCCCTCCCTTCTCTAAAAATAGATCATGAGATGCTGAAGAGAAATCAAGAAAGTCCACAAACAATCCACATCAGGACTTAGTTTTTCTGTAGTATTTGGATTATTTTTCAAATCTAAATTTTCAGTTCCATCTTTGCCTATTCTGAGCAGTAGAACCAGTTATTGGTTTTTGTAACAATTTTGCTGTCTCTCTCTCTTTCAGTCCTCCAGTATCTCCTACCACGGTGGGGTACATTGCAGCTCCTCCAGGAGCTGTGGCAGCTGCTGCCACTGCCACCCACACTCCGATCCTGCCCCAGCCTGGAGCCTTAGTCCGGATGCAGGGCTTGCCATATAACACAGGAATGAAGGAGATACTCAGTTTCTTCCAGGGGTACCAGGTTAGTATGCTGCCCTCTCCTTGAGATGGTATTTGGACCTCTGAGTATTCAGTGATCAGTGGAGGTCAAGCTGAGCAAGCAAGAGCATTTGGAAACTGCCAAACACGTGTGCAAGCTGCTTGTTGTATATTTAACTGGCAGACTGAAGAGTAACACACGATTTGCCTTCTTATTAAATAAACAAATCCTGACTTGGAAGCAGTGATTTGGTGTCTGGGTTTGGGGTTTGAGTTTGAAGACCTCAGAGCCCCAGTGTGAGAGGGGCTGCCACAAGAAAAGTGGGGGCTGCCAAAAGTTTTCAGTCCTGGCCACTTGGTGGTGGGAGCTTTTTGGTAGGGTCAGTGTTTGACCTTCAACACTGAAAGTTTGCTGATTTCTAATACAGAGGGCTGTGAGCTGGGTGTGGTGACTTGCAAAAGGAGACACAGCTGTCTTGGTTAAACACTGTTTCAATTGCTAATGATTGGTAATGATGAGGCAGGAACATGTTTCATTAAAGCTGTATTACATTGCAAACTAAAGGAAATCTGTATTATCCATGCTGTCCATATTGACAGCAAATATACTGTAAGTAATATCAGTCTGTATGGACTGATGAAATGCTCACAGGTGAGCAAACAAACTTATCCTCTTGATAAGTTAAAAAAAAGAAAGGCACCAGCTACAAACACTGTTTTCCAGCAGCTCTTATTTGATGTCTTCTGCCTTTTGTCTCAGAGGATACTGTATCTATATCCATGGTTTGTCATGACATCTTTGCTAAAAGGAAAGGTAATTGAATATGGTATGTTCTGGTGAGTATTTAACTCCTGTGGATAACAGCACTTACACAGTCCCAACTCTGCCCTTTTGGGTACTACCTGGAAGTTCTGAACTAAAATCCTCTTTGTGGCTCTCAAACCCCACTGCAAATGGACAAGTGATTTGTGTCAAAAGGCAATAATCTTTGCATGTTTGTCCTTCAACATCCTGAGATAGCAGTGATATTGCAAGAGGTAATAGGAAAGATTCTGGCTTGGTATGTTTTCTTTCTTTATTTCTTTTTTTTTAACCTTTACATTCTTAGAAGACAATGAGCTTTAATTTGTTGAGCCAGATATCTGGTATGCAAATGAATGTAGACTGAGAACAGATGCTTAAATGTGTATGTTCCAAGTTTTGAGTACTTGGAAGGTGCGGTGCTCTACCTGTTGTGTCTTCTGTTTGAATGTTACATTTATGTTTTGAAGGCAGTTTTGTATACTCAAGTTTTTCAGTGGAAAAAGATTGTCACATGAATTTGGACAAACAGTAAAAAAGAAACTGCATATTGTTGTATTTTAGGGCTTTTTCTTCCACAGATATTTCCAGAGTTCAAACCAAGTTCAGTTATTTGTGGCTTTCATGATACCCAGAAAAGTAATAAACATTCGTCCTATTGTTTAGCCATCAATATTTTGCCTTTTAGTTGTTTTCTACTGGTTGGGAGTTTTGGTGGCTAGATGGTGGATATGTTAAAACCTTAAGTGTGGAAGCTTATTTGATAGATTGAAATTTAGCTAGAAGTGTAACTGCACCTTTGAAAAATGTGGCATGAACCTCTACCTTTTGTTAAATCTTCAGCTTAGTGAACCTGGACTTTGGGTCTCGTACTCAGTTTGCTCTTCTCCTCATTTCTGCATTTGAAGAGCAGCTCCTGGTGTTTGTATTGCACAATTAAATGGTTATAGGAACAGAAATTTTGCCACAAGGTGAAACCTATATTCTGCTGCTGCCATCTCCTGTGATCATCAGCTACTGTTATTAAATTGGTCACCTCTTTGATTTCTTTAGAAGATGTTGTCCAAATGAGATCAGGTTCAAAATCTTATAAAGGAACCAGGAATTCCTTTGAATTGTTCTTGGAATCCCACATGTGGTAATGCTAATTTTATACTCATTCATTCCTTCAGGGGGAAAGGAGATGGTGACTTACTGTAATGGGACAATATTACATCTCTGGAGAAATAACTAATCTTTTTTTTCTTTTTTCCTCCCCTTTCTTCGCATTGTTTTCTCATTTTCTGCTGCTGCCCAAGGATTTATTGCACGATGCTTCTGCTCGTTCATAAAGTGAGCCCTTAAAAATCATCAGTGGTTTGGGCATGGTTTTAATCTCTGTACAGCTAATTGATGTTGGTATTCAGTGGTCTTCAGTGTTGGTATTCTGGGAACCAGATCGGAGATGCTGAAATTGAAGGGTGATTTTTGTCTCTGTGTGTCCTTGTCTGGAAGGAACAGGGTTCAAGTTTTAGTTCTTGCTTTATTCTCCTCTGAATTTTTCCTTCAGGCTTCATGGGCTCTGTACATTGCATGTGTGCACATGTTGCTACTTAAGTGAAAGCACTTTTCATACCAGACCTGCCTCTTAAGAGATATCATGAGCTTCAACAAGCTGGTCTCAACATCAGTACATGCTTCTAAAAACAAATTATTTAAAAGTCTGCAGATCAGCATTTTAATTTTCATTTAATTTTATTAGTATTAGCCTCTTGGTTAGTGTTTCAGCAGCTCTGTTTCTTCTTGTAGTTCTGTTTTCTTGTTTTTATTGGTGCAAATTCCTTCCAGCTTACATGTATTTATTGTAACTTGGATTAAGCAATTGAAAAACTCGAGAAGAATTTTAATAGTAAATCAGGGAGATGGCAATTTTCCCCATCACCTTTCTATATTGTAGTGTGCTGTAATCCTCAAAAGAGCTAATTCAGTAATTCACATTAAACTGCTTTTTGGTTGTACTGTAAAGCAATAGGGCCATTGATTTGAGTCCAATTATATGCTGGATACATAACTTAAGGATAGCTAAAAACAACCACAAAACCCAAGCCAACTAAAACCAAATTGAAAAAAACAACAAACCCCAAAACAACAACAAAACCCTCACCATGCCATTCACCAACTGCTCAGCAGATCCTGGTCTCTGGACATTTTGTTGAAGTAAGGGATCCATGGATGGGATTGTGAGGAGACTCTTCAGGAATTCAGAAAAGTAACTCATATTTCATATTATGGGGTGAAGTCTGAGGAAGAAGTGGTGCAAATGAGTAATAACATACAGCAAAACTCCTCAGTGTTACTTCAGGCCATCACTCTGTACAGGTGCAGAAGCAGTGAGAGAACTCTGGTAAATAATGATTGAACAGGGGTGGTAGTCGAGTCGTGATGGATTTATGTGAAGTTGGTGCATAGCAGAACAAAATTTTTCGTAAAGTATTTTTATTTTTCTTTATTTAGTGGCTGAACACTTCATGGGTTTTACTATTTAGCCACTAAAGGAATCAATGCAAAGTATTTTAGTCTCCAAATGCTGGAGTCTCTTTTGGTGTAGGGTTTCCCTTTCAGTTTTCTTTTTTGTTGTTGTTTGGTTCAGTTTGGTTGTTTGTTTGGTTTGAGTTTGTGGCGGAGGAGGGGGGGATTTGTTGGTGTGTGGTTTTTCAATAATTTTTTTTTCTGAGAATACAAATAGTGGCAGGGCTGGTATCATGACAAGAACTGTTAGGTTAATGTAGAAGCAGATGCAGTTTAGCTGTGCCTGTGATCTTAGCTGACCAAAAACCAGTTCACAGCTGTTGTCTTGGCTAGGATTCAGCCTCCTTTTAGTAGTACTTGCCCAGTTTCTTGGAGGTTGGCATGAATGTGAAGTGAACTCACGCCTGCCTGGAAAAGACCCTGTGGATTAGTTCTTAGAAAGCAGACTTGCTATTTAGGTAAGTTGTGAGTAAGCATAGCAGTGAAAAAAAAAAAAAAAAAAAAAACCAACCAAAATCCTGGAAGATAACTAAGGTTTAGGGGCCATGGTCACCACCTGAACTTTTAAAAAGATTCCTGAATTTGCTGAAAAAGGCTGGGATGGAAATGTAAGGACTTCTTTGTGTATGTGTTTCTACATAGGAAAAGCATAAAATAAATAGTGTTCTTTAAACCTCTACTGGGCTTAAGTGTCTGTTGTCTGCAGTTATAAAGAGTTTTTGCAGTATATTAATCCTCCAAGGCTTCAGAGACACAGAATTTAAGGCTTGCTGGTGGAGGGGAGGAGGGTGAGTTGTGGTTAAAACAGTAATAAGGAAGTGAAGGGAAGTGGATGGATGGCGAAATTCCAAAGGCACTAACGACATTTCTCGGTTGTATCAGGACAACAGACTTCATTGTTGCTGACTTTTTAGGGATTAGGAGTTTGTTTCTCTGAAATGTGTGCTTAAACAAAGAAGTATTCTGTATTTCCTTTGGGATCCTTTTGAAATCTGATTCTCTGCAGCCTGAGAGGGGAATACCCCATCATCTGTGTGCCAGTCCTAAGCATGGCACCCTCTGACTAGGGAAGGGACAGGGGAAGTGGTAGAGGAAGAATTCCCACTTAATGGGATTGGAAGTCGTCTGACAATACAGACACTATTCCATGCTCACCCCCACACTCAGAATAGAGCACACTGCTTCTTTTGCTTTATTCCTAAATTTATCTCCCACCTGGAAATGTTGCCTGTGTGAAGAAAGCATCTGTGAGACTGGGACCAGTAAATTAGTGGTTACAGTTTCTGTCTATTGCCTCCCACGCTTGAAGCAAGAGACTGAAGTGGCACCCTCTGTATTTTTGGCACAAGCATTACCTGTTTCAGTCTCTGATACACAGAAGGTTCAGGTGGTATCTCTTCCACACAGAATTCAGGTATTTGTGGGTGTTTGTATTGGCAGTCTTATGGTACAATTGATGCGCTTCTAGGAGCAAAGCCAGTTTAGGGTATTTCTCCTGACTCTTGTGCTAAAGATTGCAGTTACCTACCACCAAATGTGGTTATATATTCTAGGCTTTTTTCCAGAGTCTGAGAGTTCCCTTTGAGAACTGTTTTGTGATAAAGTGTATGGGTCATTTGGGCAAGAATTGAAGCTGCCTTCCTGAAGTGGCCATTTTGCCTATGATGTTTTTCTTTTCTATCATTTGCTCCTGTTTTTTCCCAGTTGGAGTGTGTCTAAATATACTTTCCAGT